TATATATATAATACTTTAGTTGTATGTTGACAGTTTTGTGACAAAATGGCTTATGTCCAATGTTCAAACTTTCACTTTTTCCCCCTTTGAGTCGCGAGCAGTCATTTAAATCGTTACTGCTGTAAAATATTTAGTTTAACAGCATGCGGAGACTAATGATTCAATACTAATCTGTCTCAGTTCAGTTTTTTTTTTTTTTGTAAAGTGAACGGACGGGATATACGCCATATATTGTGATGCGTATTTTCTACGCTTTTCACCCTATGAATATAACAGGTTTTGTGACAGAGCCCTTCCTATGTTCATTTATCTGTCCCCGTCGTTTTATGACAGAAAAGTTCTGTAATTTTGCAAACTGAACCCAAAAATGTGAAATTTTGCGATTCTGTTCATTTTAACAAAGAATGATAAAGGAAAATAATCAGAAATTATGCAAAAAATGATCAATTATTGCTAAATTATGCGGGGTGCATAAAACCACGGGGACAGTTTTAGATACTACTGGGTCATGTATTCAGATTGTACAGAAATAATGTAACAATTAATAATAATACAATAAAATTATGTGTAATATTAAACGATATCTGTATGTATTTTACAATGTGTCATGTATACCGTGCCAGAATTACTGCTGCTGTGGAAGACTTTTGATACAAGTTGGTACATTCTACCCTCACAGATGTTCCAGTCTAATTAGGTCGCTGTTAGTGAGTGGTTGGCAGGTGCTCTGGTATGGTTTGCTCCTTCTTTCCTATCAAATATTTATCGTCTTTATCTCTCTGCCTGTGGGTGGTTGGCGGGTGCTCTGGTATGGTTTGCTCCTTCTTTCCTATCAAATATTTATCGTCTTTATCTCTCCGCCTGTGGGTGGCTGGCGGGTGCTCTGGTGTGGTTTTAGTGTTGATGGGCGTGAAACCTTTACCATTTCATTTCTGTGGTGTGGTTTGCTCCTTCGTTCCTATTCAACTTTTATAATCTTTTTCTGTCCGTCAACTGTCCCAGACTGCTCCAGTCATCTAAGCACAGGTCAGAGGGCAACATATTTCACGAGAGAGAGAGAGAGAGAGAGAGAGAGAGAGAGAGAGGGGAGAGAGAGAGAGAGAGAGAGAGAGAGAGAGAGAGCGAGACTGAGATGACGAAAACATGAAAACAAGTGAACAAATAGATCATGCAATCTACTTAAAAAGCAAGTTAGATAAACAATATTTGGAATAGCGCATGTTTGATTGTTCGTCAGTTTGTGTATTTGAAAATGTGCGCATACAGACACAGCGAAATAATGAAGAGAAAGGAAGAGAGAGAGAGAGGGGGGGAGAGCAAGAAGGAGAGAGACAGAGAGAGAGAGAGAAAGAAGAAGAAGAAGAAGAAGAAGAAGAAGAAGAAGAAGAAGAAGAAGAAGAA